AAGTTATATTTAAAAATAAATTTTAACACTTTATATTGCATCTATTTGTAAATCTGGTCTTCTAAAATATATTAAAAAATTTTAATTTGTTTAACGTATCCAAGCAATATTAGGATGCACATTAAACCCACAAGCGAGTGAATGAGTTGGCAGGAACTCTTTTAGTTTAATAAGAGGTATTGGCTTCAAATCCTAAGAATGTAGCTCCGTTAAAAGTCGTAAGGAAGAGTTTTGCTTCCTGTTAGGTCTTGCCCGACTCGAATCCAGATTAATCGATGGGCCAATGAATTTCTGATACCAGGTGGTTCATACAAAAAAAAAAAAAAAAAACTAAGGATGCACATTAAGATTTTTTAGCAATAGTTGTATTAGTAGCATGGTCCACCATACCTTCTATTCTAGGCAGTTGATGCATTTAATGTCTTGGATAGTAGTAGGGTTTGAATGAAGGTAATGCGGTGCAAATATCACCCTTTTCTTTATTTTTTTATTTTTTTATCTTAGTTATATAATAGGAGATAATCATTTTTTATTTTTTATTTCATTGCATTTACATATCATGCGACTTGAATTCAAGATTTTTTATTTTTAATGAAAGGAAATAAACACTAAGTTATTTCGGTTTATTTTTAAATTGTAACAATTCAAAAGAAAAAGGTATTAGCAGTATGATACTACTATTAATGACTGGTTAGTTCTTTGTGAGTGAAAAAATAAAATTGAGTGAGCTCTCCCTTCCACGGTCCAACTTAATTTGACTTTAAACTCAATATTTCTTTTAGAATACGGAAAAGAGTTAGTAAAAAAAAGAAGTTAATATGGTGCTCTTGAAGTGGCCCCAACGGACGGCCAAAAAAAAAAAAAGAAGGTTAAATGTTTATTTTGGCCTTTTAACTTTATTGGTTTATACATTTTTCGTCTTTGAAGTATTTTGTGCACATTTTTTATCCTTTAACTCTAAGAAATGTACAACGTTTGTCTTTTCGTTAATTTGGGTCATTAACTCCGCCACGTGACATTTTATATATATATTTTTTATGACATGGAGAAGACAATTTAAAAAGACATTGATGTGAATTTTTTTTTTATGACATGTTATCTTCCCACGTCAAAGCCCCTCAAATGGGTCTCATATTACTTGCAAAAACCACCGATAAAAAAAAGATATCTTTTGGATTTCTCTTTTAGCAGTAAAAAAAAATCTAAAAACTTATAGAACAAAAATTTTTTTCGAACCCAAACCCATATTTTCTTTGAGATTGCAGAGATTTTCTTAGAGGGTGATTCTAAAGATTTTTCACATTTTTTACTAATTAATCATCATTAAATTATAATTACTTATGTTAATCAAAATTGAGATTGTAAACTAATTTATAATTAAATCACAATTTCTTCATCAAATTTTCTTAACAAAACAGATCAAAACCATTTTCTCAGCAGCCAAACACTCAAATTGTACAATTTTCTAGCCAAACAAATGGAAACCCACTAAAAATTGCTTCTTTTCCCATCGGTCACTGCTTCTATTCTTTCCATCGCCGATGATGTTCTTTCCATTTTGAACATTAAAATCATTTAGACAATAGTTAGGAAATATGAAGCAAAAGGACTTCAAAAACCCTTCACAACTTGCAATTTGCTTAAACTCAGCAAAAGGATCCCAAAAATCCCTCACAACCTGCAATTTGCATAAATTCTTTGCAAAAAATATATATATATAAAAAAAAAGTGGAGCTGGGTTCAGTGGAACCCAGTTTGTTGGGTTCCTCAAACCCAGCAAATTTGGGTTCTGGGTTCCACCAAATCCAACAGATCTGGGTTCCTCGAATCCAATAGATTTGGGTTCCCTTGAACCCAGATTAGATGGGTTTGAGGGAACCCAGCAATACAAAAGAGGAAAAGGAAGAAGAGGAAGAAAGAAAGGAAGAAAGAAAGGAAGAAAGAAAGGAAGAAGATGGATCAAGAAAGGAAGATAGGGGTATTAAGGTAAATTTGTAGTTTTTATTTTTTACTAAAAATATAAATACTAATATGAGTTGGCATTATGACATGTCATAGAAAAATGTCAAGATCATCACCTTTTTAAGTTGTTTTCATCGTATCAT